TCTGTGTCTGTGTCTGTGTCTGTTCCTTGTAACGTGACTGTGATTCCTTTCTTCTAGGAAAGCATAAACACCCGGTCACTCATAACAGCCCACAGGGCATTCAGGTGAAATTTGGGTTTGGAAGAGGTCTAGGCACATAGAAATTCTCTGGCTGAGAAATGCCAGATGTTAGATGCTATATTGATCATTTAACACAGCTATTTTTTTGTGAGAAAAATAGAATAAAACAGGTGGGCATAGAGTTCTTCTTGCCATATTGAGTTGTCTCGCATCCACACATTGAGCTGTGTTAGCTTTGCAGACCAATGTGCACATGTAATTTTACAGCACGTGCGTTTGGTCAGATCAGACCACGGGCAATGCTGAGATCATAGCTGCCTGCAAATGACAGTGAGAAACACAGCCCTTGTTCAGCCAGTGCAAAAGGTGATGCTCCTCTTACTTTGATTTAAGTGGAAGGTCACCTGTTATAAAAAGGTTAGCATGAGAGAGGGTGCCCACTGAAGGCCAGCCCGACTCAATGCAGTGCTCTGTAACAGCACACATCTGTGCACAGAAAGAACCCTTTTGCCTGCGAGTTTTCTCACGCCTTGTTTTCCATCTGCAGTCTTTCCCAGGTGCCTCTGCCAAATTTTCTTGGTCTTGAATTTGGATTATCTCCATTTCGGTTTATGTTGAGCAGGCAGTGCCTGCATCTGGCCCAAGTTCACTCACCTGTCCTGGCTGCCTACTACTGCTCTAGTTCCTCGGACATTTCAGGGGTGTGCAGCCATACCAGTGCTATGTTTCTATTCCACTTCCCTCTAGATAGCATTTTCATGCCAAGACTGAGAGCAGGAAACTGATTTAGTTTGATTTAATGTTTCTAAATCTCTGGATAGTGAAGAAGGGCAAAACTGGCTTTAGAGTTAAGGCTCCTCTGCATCCTACATGACTGCAATAATGTAAGGCAGCTAGACTTTACAGCTTGTTCTGTATCTCGTCTCCTGTTAATCCAGTTATTTCACAAGCATTCATGTCATTTTGCAAATGCTAAGGTGGAAGGCAACAACTCTGAAAGCAATTTCTTTCCTCTTTATTCTTCCTGTATATGCTGACAAGAATGACACTGTCTCATAAACTGTAGATGAGAAAGATTTAATTTGCAGGGTAAACTTCTTATTGATTTAACTCAGGTCTTAGGCACTGCTGATGACTTGAATCGCAGAAAGCAGATTTTGATCCTGGTGAAAGTGATAAATCATTGGGCCAGCCCAGAAGAAAAGTGAACTTGAAGCCAGAAGGATGGCTATGAGGGCCCTGAGTTTACGTTAGCTGTTGTGAGGATTCTCCTTGGGAAGGAGGGTCTCCACGGCGTGATCATTCACCCAGGATTATTTATATCACATTCCAGTGGAGTGGACTGGAGAGTCTACCATGCAATTATTCGGCTTCCCAGGGATGATACAATATTAGGAGCAGATCCCTGGGAAAC